GAGTGGAAGGAGCCTTGAAAGATCCAAAAAGGACAGAAGCAATGCAAGTTGAAATGAAAGTATTACAAAAGAATAATACAAGGAGTGTAGTTACATTTCCCAAAGGAAAGAAATTAGTAAGATGCAAGTGGATGTTCACTATTAAACATAAGGCGGATGGGACAATTGACAGGTACAAGGCGTAAGTTAATGGCAAAAGGGTTTACTCGGACAAAGCAAGGTAGTTAGAGGCTAAAACCCTGAACCCACTTGTCGTGCAATAGAACATGTGTATGTGCACATCTATTCAACCAGGACGCAGCAATGCAGGGTCAAGTCGATCCTTCTTGTTGGTGGTGAATACAATAATTCTCTCGTCGCCAAAGCTTGACCACAAACCGTCTATGAAGTTCAAAAGCCCGAGAGTGACACCAACTACGATCATTATAACACCACGTGATATGTCAATGCCAGTCAAAAGAAAAAATGAGTAACTAAGAATATCATTTGTAACAAAAAACTGAATGAATTGAAGCAAAACCTTGGTGTTAAAAGTTTGATTTTGTTTCTCTGATTGCCGATTTTATATATCAACACTGCAACAATCGATATCCTCAATCACCAAAATCGAACGATTTGTAGTAGACAACAATACCCTCTTCAATTTATAGTCACTGGAAAGATTAGTAAGCCCCAAATCATAGACATCAAACTTAAGATAATTAGCCATGGCTGCGATCAAGCTTGATTTCCAGTGCCGGGAAGACCATACAACAAGTAGCCTTTTTCCAAGCCTTCCCCACCTTCTTATAAAACTCCCTACTCCTCACAAACCTGTCCAAATCCTCTGCAATCATTTTCTTGAGCTCAGGGTCCATCGCCATCGTCTCAAAAGTAGCAGGATGCTCTAGGTTTATCAATCCCCAAGTACTGTTGTTGCCGTCATCATACGAACATAAATGACGAGAATAAAGCTTCACAACCTTCTCCTCTTCTTTAATGGCATTTGCCCGAGCAAGCATGTAAGGTCAGAAGGCGTCCATCACTATGTCTTTGTGTTTTTGGTGAAATGTCAGCTCAAAGAATTGGTTCTTCGAACTTTCCCTGTGTTGGAAATGTGCCCTAAAACCAATCATATGATGATACTTTACGGACATTTCACATGTTAAACTAATCTAGTTTAACTATAAAGGGCAAAGATTATTGTTTGAGCCGTCTCATATAAATGTTATATGCTTAAACGATAAAGTCCAAGGAATATGTGATTGGGAGAATGCGATCTAAAGAAGTTAGATTCATGAGACCATTCTTTCATAGACACATCCTAAACGTTCCTAATCATAGGATTGCCAATTGGGCATTGACAGTCCGTTAAGATCAGTACGTGCTGTATCTTCTCTCAAGGAGAGTGACTAGTCTCGAGTCATTGGTGTGTGTGACATCAAGACAAGTACGTAGGTGCTCAATAGAGAATGAGTTCACTGAACACGATCAACGAAGAGTTCTCATATTCATGTCACATGAGAACTCATGGTTGGGATAATGCAAAGTAGTCCTTTGACCTGAGGCATCACAGTTGTCTTGTGGTTAAGTTCTTGATCTTTGATTATGTCAAAGTCACCCCATCGGGGTGTCCACGGCATCGTTGGGGTTAAACCACTTAGCCATGGAGACAAGTGAATGCGCAACAAGGGATCTCTAACCTTCAAACCGTTGGGGGAGAATACTCTATGATATGATTTAGAATCTCTGGCCAGAGTATGAATGAGATTTAGAAAAGTCGTTGTAAATCACATTCAAGGTAATCATATAAGCACACGAATCACATTGGATAGTAGACATGAATAAATAAACTATCAAACCAAACAATGTGGTCAAGAGTATTGTATTAGAGAAAGACCGTATTGCATTTGTAATCCCAAACTGAATAGGTTCTTCACCTCTTCTGATTAGCTTGGGTAACCATGATATGCTGCTAGGTGTCACTCATGGTTTGTGGAAGCCCTAAACGTGTGTAATCACTAAAGGGAGAATTGAAAGTAAGTTTCAATTCACAATCGATTTGAAAGAGTTCTAATCGCCCACTGCCTCGCTAAAAGGAACCTAATGGATCGTACACCGTGTAAGGTGGAGATTGAAGAAACAATGGAGATGAGTAAGAATGATTAAATGGTTTAATTATTTATTTATGGCAAAGATTAATTAATATGTTAATTAGTCAAACGAATAAAGTTCGTTAAAAGACCACGGGTTAGTTTTTGGGCCTCAAGGCCCAATGGGCTTCGAACGTCAAGTCCATTGACTTAAGTTGTATGACAACTTAATTCACAAAGGCCCAAAAGCCCAAACAAAAACCCCATGGCCGGCCATTTAGAGGAAGGGTAGTGAACTTGCTTTAATTACAAGTTTGCCACTCAAATGAATAAAGGTATAAATATGACTTTATAGCCAAAATTCATTTAGGGTTTGTTTTGGAGAAAATTGGAGAGAACATGTCTCTCCATTTCTCTCTAAAGAGGCCGGCCCCTTGGAGGGTGTATCTAGCCATACTACTACTCCAAGGTCACTCATTTTCTTCTCCAATCTCTCCTTGGTGTGGAGACTTAGACGTTCTCAATTTTGGGAACTTGGAGAAACCTTTTCATCCATCCAAATCCATAGATTTTAGATGCAAGGAATGAAGGCCCTCTCTTTGGGTGATTAGCCTTTGCTTATGCAAAGAGGAATCTACAAAGGTATATATTTCTCAACTCACTTTGATTTGAGTTGAGTCTTGGTTCACCAATCTACTAGGCTTTGAATTTCATGGTTAATGTTTTGTTTTTAAGTGCATGCAAGCATGATTCCGCCTTTAATTGTTAATTGCATGCTTATAGATGTTGCTTAAATGAACATGTTTTCACAATATATTCCTTCACCCTGGAGTACTCATTCCTTCCCTTCTTGGTTTCCATGGCATTAAAGCGCCACCTGAGCTTAACATTATTGAAAGTGTTGGTGAGTTCTTCGTCTTTGTCGATGGAAAATCAGATGGTCTATTGGCGATGCGTTTTTCCGACTCGAAGGCGTTGAGTGCTGGGACTGGTGCCAATGGTTTGGAGGTAGACCTTAGCGGCATCATAGACCTGGTTGCGTGCCACTCCGTAGAGCTCGTCAATGATGAAAGTGAGGTTAAAGGAGAGTGGAGTGAAAAGGGATTTGAGTTTTGAGTAGACGTATGAGCGGACAGCGGGGATGAGCTTTTTGGCCATGGGACGGACCAACACCATGGATCCTTTAACAGAGGTATAGGCTGTGAACAAGGAGGATGCTACCGTGAGTAGAATTTTTAGATCAAAGGAAAACATTTTGGTAATTTCAGATTGGTTTGTTGAGAGATGCATGAACACCAATGTAAAAGTATCTACTCATCAAGCAACAAATTAGACTTTATACAAGATGCTTAATTTTATTTGATCCCCTCGTCACCACAAACGAACCCAACAAATTATGTATACTAAAACTCAGTTGAGTTTTAGCACTGTTCAGCAATAGTAAAAGGGCAGAAATGCCCTTGATTTGTTTGGGGTTTAGGTGCTGCTGAATTGCTTTGTACAGTTAAATGTCATTTTTGCCCCCATTAGGTGGGCTGTCTTCAGTTGCTCGAAAAGTCCTTTTTTCGGGTACGTTTTCTGTCCTGCTTTTTTCCAATTTGGAGATGCACTGATAATTGTTGGATTAAAATGGATTTGTATATTTTGGGAAGAACTGAGAGGAGTCGTTGGAATTTTAGAAAGCTTTGTGTTTCTACCTTTTATGTGACAGAGGGAATACAGACAGGGAGAGGAAGAGAGAAAACATTAGTTTAGATTGCAATTTTAAAAGTTTTTATGTTGTTAGTGTTGGAACCAATGTATTTTGTTGGGAAATTGATAATATGTAAAGTTATTAGGATTTTGGAAAGATTTGCCTTTCTCAGTTTTATCTGCCGGAGGGAACACAACTCTTACATATATGATTTCAAGTTGTCCCTTTAGAAATTCAAGCTCTATTGAATACATGAGGTGTAAGAAACTGTTTGGGATATTTTCAAGTTTTTCTGATTCCTGAAAAAAAAAAAGCATGCTTAAAAGTAATTATATTTTAATTTTTATTGAATTCAGGTAACCATCTTTAGGTTTTTGCTTTGATTTGAAGAATTTCTTACCCAGGAAAGCCAGGGCTTCCTGATGAGTTCTTTGGGTTCCATATCTGGCATCTTTGTTTTGTTCAAATTTGGGCGTTTGTGATTTGGGATTTATGTACTGTCTTATCAACTCTTAATGTTGAATTAGGTAGCTATTAATGTTGGATTAATCAAACTTGGGCATCAGTTCATATGTTTTTCAATGTTCCTATTCCGATTTAATAACATGATTTAATAGTGTGATGCTGATTTAGGCTATAAATTCAGAGGCTTTTGAATAGCCAAATTTGCAACACAGATTTCAGAGGCTGTTGTATCATTAGCTGAAATATGGTACATATAATCCTTAGACATCATTTTTCACTTTGATTAAGATGTGTACCTACCTTCTCAGTTTTTACCATTGTAGATGCGGGTGGTATAAATTTTTACTTAAAAAATTGAACTCGAAATGAAAACCCAGGTGAAAAGCATGGAAACAACTCTTGCGTAGAAATGACTTCTTGGAATGAATTTTCTTGAGATTTAATCCCAGCTATTTGATAAGAGTCAGGTTTTACAACTTAAACCATTTCCAATAACTATTTGGTAATAGGATGAATAATTAATCGTCAAAAGTGAGTTCATACATATGAAATCCTGTTTAAGCTTACTTTTTCCCTTATGAATATTTCTTAATCTGATAGGCTGATGCTTGGGTTATTGAGAATTTTGCCTCGGTAGCAAAATATCTATCTGCCCAAATTATGGGACACGGGTGTAGTTCTTATTTTGATAATTTTTTCTTCTTTCTCTCTTTGATACTTTTCATGTGTATTCACTTGGGAAAAATACTTAAGTCTTAATGATATTAATGATGCAGGATATAATTTCTTCTGCAGCCATAAAATCTGTAAACAGATTTCCAAGTTTACAAGGAGGTTGCTGGGTCGAGTTTGGTTACACAGATAACACTGCAGTATACCATACAAAGGTTTTTTTTTCTTTTCTTTTGCCCCATTTTTGGGATATTGGTTACAAAATCCTTTTTTAGCATAGGTGTGAAATTTACAGTAGGGGTTAGTAAGTTAATTAGTTAATTTCATTCTCAATGTGCATAAATGTTGTTCTTGCATTAATTCATTTTCTTTGTATCGAAATTGAATAAATCTACTTCTCCTTGATATCCACTCATTCTGCTAAGATATTTATGTTGTTTCTCTCATGCTCTATCACAATATATCAGTTACTTTAATAAATTTAGTTCTAAACGTTTTCTCAACATAGATGATCTTACAAAACTCAGTGATGTACTCATCTAATTTTTAAGTTTTAAGTCTTTTTAATGAATAGTTTGGTATTTAGGCAGCTTTGATCTTTGATTTTAAATATGAGATTTTGTCTGATTCTTTCCGATCCTCAGTTTCTATTGTCATTTACGGTTTAATGGACATTCTTGAATCACATTGGTTAACACCAAACAAATGGTATGTGTCATATTTCTCTTTTTCTATTCCTTTACTTTCATACAGAGTTTTGTTTGAATGCCATCATTTTCACAGCCCCTTATACACCTTTGATTCAAACTTCATCATTCTTTAAATATCTGTATATATTATGCTCACTAGGGGTGGGCACTTGGAACCGAAAACCAAAACCAAAACACAAATTGAATCAAACCGCACCAAACGGTTTGGTTTTACGGTTTTGAAACGGTTTCGGTTTCAAAACCGAACCACAGCACACAAAACGGTTTGGTTTCGGTTTTGGGTTTTCAAAACAGCATCGAAACTGAAACCGCACCATATAATAAAGAAATGTTATATAACTTATATTTTAAACTTTTCAACTAGGTTATAACTTATAGGTTTGTATTATGGCAAACTTAACCTTTCAATTGGGTTGTAAAGTATTGTGATTGGTGATCAAGTTCAATTTTAGTAGATGTGATGCATAAGGATTTAAAGTTTAAACCCTTTGATGCATTGGATATTGTCTCAATTTTAGTAGTTGTCATTTGTTGCAGTTTTGGTACAAGTTTGGTACAAGTTAGCTGCACTTTTGGTGCAGATTTTTGGTTCTGTTTTGTGCAGTTTTTTAGTGCTGTTTTGGTGCAGTTTTTGGTGCTGTTTTTTTATGCAGTTTTGCTGGATTATTTTTTGACGCAATTTTGTGCAGTTTTGTGCAGTTTTTGGTGCAGTTTTGCTGCTGTTTTTTTATGCAGTTTTGCTGCATTTTTTTGGTGCAGTTTTTTGTACTATTTTGGTGCTGTTTTTTATGCAGTTTTGCTGATTTTTTTTTTGCAGTTTTGACTCTTTTTTGCTGCAGTTTTGCTGCAATTTTACTGCATATTCATTAATTAATATATGAAGAAAAAAAGACCGTCTTATGCATAAATGTGTATATTTTAAATTGTACATTTTTTTTCTCAAAAATCAAACCGAAACCGTTTGAAACCACACCGCACCGAATCGAACGGTTTGGTTTCATTTCGGTTTTGGCTTCAAAACCGCACCACACCGCAAAATGTTTCGGTTTCGGTTGTGGTTTCACTCGAAACCGCACCGCACCCACCCCTAATGCTCACACGTTTTGTAATCCCACGACAATGAGCGGGCATTATTTCTAGTTATACATATACTAAAACTCAACACAAGTTACTGTTCATTAACAGTGTGCTCCCATTTTTGCCCCGCTTTTTTTGTTATTATTTCAACTTTGCCACTTTTGTTTTGCTGTCAAACGGAGAACAGAATCGTTCCAGACATTTCTCTGCCTTTCCTCTTTCCTCGCTCGCATACCTCGGGTTCCATCGTCTGCCGTTCTGTTTTCTGTCTTCATCTTTCTTCGTTGGTTGGGTTCGAAATATTTTTCCGCTCATTCGAGCGGTATTTACAAGTAAGTTTTGCATGTTTCTGACGACGAGGGTTTTGATTTTGCTTTTTTTTTTTTTTGTGTGTTTTTTTTGTTGATATCTGATGTGTTTTGGTTTTGGATTTCAGAGATTTGTACCTATATTGGATTCGATTGGGTTTTGGTTGGAACCGATCTAATCCGGCATTTGCAGGTCAGTTTTGCTCTGACGACGAGCCTGTGGCTCATTCCCTTGAGAGCGACAAGCCCGAAACGGGGAGTACTGAGAGCATTAGAGGAGGAGGAGGAGGAGAAGACGAAGAGGAAGAGCCCGTGGACGAGCCCGATGATCCCATGGAGGAAGACGCAGTCAACTCCGCCGCCGTCTTCTGCATCCGGCTCAAGCAGCCCAGGTCCAATTTGCAGCACAAGATGAGCGTCCCCGAGCTTTGTCGCAATTTTAGGTAAATTTTGAAATTCGAGCTCCAATCTGTTAAGCTTTGAGTTTTGTTCATTGAATTATGCTTCTTTTTATTGGGGATGGGGGGCATTTGATTGAATTGTGTTTAGACATTGGTTTCGAAGCGGTACCACAAATAAAATGAGAATATTTGTATTGGTTTGAGCTTTGTAGTTGTGTGTTCATGGAGAAAAATTCAAAATTTTCTGCAATGAAACAAGAAATTGTTGTTATATAGTATATACCGCGATGGGAAGGAGAGAAAAGTTGTTGACTTTGAAATGTGGAGAGAGAAGGATTGATATTGGGGGATTCTATGGCGGGTATTTCCAAAATTTTAGGTCTTTATTAATTTAGTTACGCCATTGCTCTATGAACTGTTGCCAATCAATTACTTTCTATGATGTCAATAAAGGTGGACATGAGAATTTTTGGTACTGGATAATGGCTACTTCATTCGTACAACTCAGGAGAACTTACCTCCTCTCTTCACTTTGTAATTCAATCGTTAGTTTTAATACTAATTTCCTGCCTTAGTCTGAGAGTTGTATGAGTTATCCGCTCTTTGCAATAAAGGAATTGTTATATTTGGGTGCTCTTTCGTTTCTGGTTCAATTTTTTGTGTGAAAATTAAAAAAAGGAGAAATGATGATGGTTAATTTTTCTCCCATACTTGATTTTCTTGGTTTGTTTCTACTAATCTTTTGTTTCTTGGGCTGATTGCACTTTTTTTTCGTTATTTTTGGTGCAGATATGAAGAGGATTTGTGAAGTTGCTGTGATTTCATGGTAAGTTTCTTTGAACGGATTTGAGAATTTGGGATCGTTTGGGTGTTTTGAAGGTTTTTTTTTTTATTTTTTTTTATTGGGGAAAAAAATGGTTAACAGTTAATTGATTGTATTTTAATTTTTATTCAGGTACTCATGATCAGTTTTTGGATTTGATTTGAAGGAATTTCTAGGGTTCATTGGTGAGTTCTTCGAGATGTGAAATGGGTGGTTTCTTTTGTTTAAATCTGGGGCTTTTGTAGTTTGGGATTTGTAAATGAATTAAAATTTATTGTTTTATGATTTGGTTCCCTTTTTATTTTCAAGAAACGGTGGTCTTCATTTTTTGGGGCTATTGTGTGTGGGCTTCCAAGCTGTTTGTGCTTGAGGTATATAATTTCAGCTTTTCTCTTTGGGTTTTTTATTAAAGAATTTAAATTTTTATGTGCTCTGAATTGACTTACAGAGCTCTTACATTAGTTTTTTCTTGCTCCTTTTTAACTCTTGACATGATTTCAGGATGTTGGAAGAGCCCTCTTCCGAGCACATGTCGAGAGTCAACTCAAGGTTAACAGATTTGTATATTTATTATTTGTGCATTGAATAAGAATTAGATAATGGTTCATGAACACAAAATGATTTTGGCATATATACAGAATGAGATAATGTTTAAGCCTGACCTGTTTGTGGCGCCTCATCCAGAATTGCCACTTTTGCTTTTGGATCAAATGACGTATGTTGTATAGCATCTTATCTTTGCACAGCATGTCGCTATTATTTAACTCCTAATGGATCTCATTTTTTCAATAATTAGAATTTGGGGAATTTGCTTGGATTTATTTTTACGTTAGGCTGGTGAAAGGATTTCGCTCTTATCAACTCAAGATTATGATTACACAAACAAAATGATGCAGCATTGGTCGCGTATTTCTTCCTGATGAGATGGGTTGGAAGGATCGAGCTGCCAACCACTGTTGAGTCGTCAAAAGCACTACATTTTTGAAGTACATCGGTAAAATAGGATCAACAACTCTTTATATGTATATTGGAGTTAGTGAACAACTAGTATATATTTTATGTAAATACTTTGTACATGTTTTAGGTTTATAGTTTTTACATATTTATGCACAATGCTTTTAGTCCCTTATTCTAACACTTGCTTACAGTGCTTATAATCCATTTGACATTATTTGGAGCTCATGGTTTTATAGAAAGGATATATATGCTGACATGAATGCATGCATATATTATTTCCTCTTCAATTAAAGATAGAAATTCCTAAACGGTAACATATATTATGAATGCATGCATATATTATTACCTAGCAAGATACTAGAACACATTTAATGGCATTTAATTTATTGTCTATCAAGAAACTAGAAACTAGAAGACGTTGAATACCATTAGAAATTTAAGATGCATTACCATCTTTTCGTATAATATTTCCAAGTTCTTTTTGAGTCGGTGAAAATTTTATTCTGTGGACATTTTTTGGATGAAATATGATTAAGTATAATGCTTTCTGAGTTATTTTGTTTCGTCAGAGTAATTGGATTTTTCATGTGGTAGAAAGGAATTAGAATTTTGCATGAATATAATTATTTGTTTTCACATTCCAAATTGAATGTAGTGTGTTTTATATATTGTTGTATTAGTTGCAAAGAAATAAAATATTTATGCATATTCATATAATTTTCAATCCCGCAGCAACGCGCGGGTACAAATTCGCCACCACCGTGAGTGCAAAGGACACCCAAATACAATGCTTGAGAAATTTGTCCATTAACATTGACCATTGACCAATAAGGGCGACGAAATTGGACAAAGTAACACAATAAAATGTATCGAATTCCGCACATATATATTATACGTCTTAGTCCATTCATGTTAGCCCCTATTAGCCAATTAAACATTCTCCAACATCCGCCTTAGAGAAAAGATTGCTATTCCACCTATCATATAGGGTCAAGACGGTACACCATTAGTTTTGAAATTTAACTTGACCTTTTTATTTTTTAAATTTATGATTAAGGTCTGTTTGACTCTAAACTATGAAAAAGAGAATTCAAACTTGAATGCAGAGTATAAAGCACACTGCAGGCCTAATTTAGATTTAGAATGAATTACAATATCGCTTTGTCAAAGAAAAAAAGTAGAGTAAACTCTGTTTCTGCAATTCCATCTAATTTCTTGTGTTTACATTCACGAATTCATAAAACCAAGTTCAGCAAGTCATTACATCACATAAGATATCACAAAAGAGAGCTTGAAACTAGCCAGAGATTTCCGAAAGGGTTTAAGGGTTAATTACCCGAGATTGAAACATTAAACTAGGACATGCGAGGTGCCAGGCAACAAGCATGAGGATTTCGACCATGGAAGACGGATGTGCAGCAACTTTTTGATCCCCTTTTTGTGCCGCTGTTGCTTCTTAACCGACGGCAGCGATGTTTCCTTCTTCTTGCTCTCAGCCTTCTTACTTTTGAGCAGGTTGACAAGTCCTTGAAGAGCCACATCCGCATCATCACTCTTCATCAGCTCCTCAGCAACCTCTGCAGGGGTGACCTCTGTGCTCTCAATCAGCCCTTCAATTTCTCCGCAGAGGCGATGGCGGTTGTTTTCTTGAATGCCAAGGTAGTTAGAGGCCAAGATCCTGTACCCAGCTGTGGTGCAATAGGACATGTGAATGTGCAGGTCCATTCGACCCGGACGCAGCAATGCCGGGTCCAGTCGGTCTTTGTGGTTGGTGGTAAACACAATGATCCTCTCATCTCCACAGCTTGACCACAATCCATCAATAAAGTTCAATAGACCCGAAAGTGTCACCTGCAAATTAAACATTAACTCCATGTAAAGTTGCAACGCAATGCCAATGCCCATTTGAAAATAACATGATAAACAGGAAGATGCAAAGTACTAATTTGGGTAGTCACGTGATGAGAGAAATCCTAATGACAGTACATATAGGATCTCTCAATAAATATGCCCTAATTACATCAAACGAACTTCCGAAAATTCTGATTAGGCCTTAATAACAATTGTAGCAATTGGCTACTACAATAAAAATTTGAAATTTCGAGCTTCATATAGCAAAACATTGAACCTTGATTCATTAAACAAAGGGCATCGAAAAAAAAGAGTACTAACCCGGCTCCTGTCCGAATCCGAATCCGAATCCAAGTCCGAATCCGAATCCGAATCCCGGTTGCCAACATCCACTCTGCAGCAATCAATGTCCTCAATTACCAAAATAGAACGATTGGTAGTGGACAGCAAAACCTTCTTCAACTGAGAGTCACTGTAAATGCTAGTGAGCTCCAAATCGTACACATCAAACTTGAGGTAGTTAGCCATGGCGGCGATCAAGCTCGATTTTCCGGTCCCTGGCGGCCCGTACAGCAAGTAGCCCCTTTTCCAAGCTTTCCCCACCTTCTTATAAAACTCCTTCCTCCTCACAAACCTCTCCAAATCCTCCACGATCATTTTCTTCATCTCCGGGTCCATCGCCATGGTGTCGAAAGTCGACGGGTGCTCCAGGTTCACCGACCCCCATTCGGAATTCGCCACGTCATCGTCGTTGTATCTCGACCAAAGGTGGCGGGTGTAGAGCTTCACCGCCTTCTCCTCTGCTTTAATGGCGTCTGCCTGAGCAAGAACATAAGGCAGGTACGAGGAAATCACCTTGTCCATGTATTTCCTACGAAATGTCAGCTCAAAATACCGCCTTTCGGATGTGCTGTCGTTCTTCCCCTTCTCGGTCTCCGAGATAAACCGCCACTTGAGCTCGACGGCACCGTCGAAGGTGTCGGAAACTTCCTCGTCCTTGTCGATGGCGACGCCGATGTTCTTCTTCCGGGGAGCTTTGCTGACGCGGAGGCGCTCGGTGTGGGGCCCGATCTTTGTCCGCAGGTAAACCTCGGCCGCGTCGTAGACTTGGTTGCGGGTCATGCCGGAGAGCTCATCGACTACGAGAGTGAGGTCACGGGAGAAGAGAGGGGCAAAAAGGTAATTCAGGGCTTTGTAGATGTAGGAGCGGAAGGGGGCGGGGATGAGCTCGCTGGCGACGGAGCGGAACAGCATCATGAATGTGGTGACGGAAGCGTAGACGGAGAACATCGACGACGCCGTCGTCGGCATCTGGTCTTTCAGTTTGTCCAGAGAAAACATTTTTGAGGTTTTATGAAAAATGGCGGCTCTGTTTTCAGAATTTGAGAAAAGTGATTTTGCTGCAGAGTTTTTATAGATGTAATGATCTTTTGGCTAACAGAAGAAATGGTATGGACTGTTTAGTAATTTTATCGTAAGTTGATGTGCAGAGAGAGGAAAGATTCGGGCGATGCCGCAGCTGCGATTTCTTGGGGCTAAAGAAAGGAAAAGGTGTGTTCCAAAAAAAAAAAAAAAGAAAAAAAAAAGGAAAAGGTGGAATAAATGTAAAACCGTCAATGTCATGGACGTGGGAGCTTGACTTTGGCGTCGGCAATTCAGCAAATATTATTAGTAGTGTAACACTAGACAGATTAAATTTGTAATCTAAATGATGTATCAATAACAAAAAATAAGTACATTAATCAACGTTTAAGTAATAATTTAATCATCAACTTCCATGTCATTTAATTTACAAAATTTAACCAAAGGGGGGCACCCTTCTCCCAAAGTTACGGTGCTATTTTGCTGAGTTCCTTAGAGAGAGTTGTCTCACGCCTCTAGGTATTCTCTACCTACCCACCTGTGTCGATTTTGGGTACAGGTACCCTTTTGTTGAAGGTCGTTCAAGCTTTTTCTGCGAGCATGACATGGACTTTTAGTCGGAATCTTATTAAAAATGGGTGCGGATCAATATGAAATTATTACCCCATGCCCAATCTATATTCTCTTATATAAATTTAGTCTTGCTAGCATTACCCTTGTTATTAAGTCTCATTAGTCGTTCATGCTTTTTGTTTGATATGGGACTCTTTAAATTTTAAGTATTGACTACATGTCAAGTATGGTTTTGATACTTGGACCTATCAGCTTGCACCTTCACCTCATGCTAGTTGTGAACACTGCAAAAATATTAGGGAAATACCCCAAAATGGGACAATTTCTTAATCTTGAGAAAGAAATAGGACAAACTGGCCTGCACACCACGCACAAAATCGAAATTACTACAATACCCACATATAAATGGGTTATTCCTCCCATTTCTAACTTCTCTTTCACTACTCTCTCTCCCTTCCTCTCTCTCTCTCTTCTTTCACTTTCTCTCTCTCTACTCTCTCCCTTCCTCAGATCTTTGAGCTTCGATTTCGAAGAGATGGAAGTCCAAAGAGAAGTGAGAT